TGACAAAAGCCAAAAAAATATTCCAAAAACAGTAAGATTAAAATGCGAAATTACAACTTTGATATTTTTTATTTGAGACACTTTGTAACTTGTAAAAATATTTTAAAATTGTAGCTCTAATAGTCCTTCAACGAAAAAAAAACTGTAAAACGAAACAACGAATCCAAAACTTATAATAATTTGTAAAAATCTAATCGTTTAGCTACAATACTCCGTGTCGTATGTGGTGAACAACCCTGTATATTGGAAGGTTTACGAACAAAAAGTCACGTACTTAACTCAAAATTAATACACACAATAAAAAGACTTTACATCACGAGCGATTATAGACTACAAATCGCCGATCGTGTGCAGCGCCTCAGTAGAGTCTATATTTCCGGCAAAGTTTGGAAAGGTGGCGGTATCTTGCTCCAATCAAAGGCTTTAAAAGCTCGTCGATATGGCGCCCGAGGTCTAACCTAAAGCTCGTTGTTCCGGACAAAACTTATCTCCGGAACAAAGTTTTCTAACCGACACGATGCGGTCTGTTCGGTTAACGTCCGCATTCTAATCTCCAGCGCTTTAGTGCGCTGCAACTGAAATCGTTGCGGGATCAAGGTGAAAATTGAGCCATGCAAAATTGATTCTACCTGGAAAATAAAATCGAGAATAAAGTGCATATATTCATAATTCAAAGATTAACATTTAATTCAATTATAGTTTATATATAAAAAAGACGATAAAATGGTATTTTATCGTCAACCGAAAAAATTAATTCACGAGCGATGAAATCGCCAGTGAACTAATTTCGGGAGACGATAATGCAACTTTATCGTCGTGAATAAAACAATATTTTTTTCCATAGCGAGTTACGTTTTAAAAAATATTCAGAAATTATGATTTCTATTTTAGCAAAATAAAAACACTAAATCACCACAATACACCAAAACACTTTTACTTTTACACTGGACGCGCGTTTCGCTAACCATGTTAGCATCATCAGCAGATGATTATAAACTAAAGTACAATCTACAAGTTGAGCGTTTATATACTCGCTCAGTGGGCACCAAGTGGGCGTGGCAAAATCTAGCCAACCGAGTCAGAGCCCACTGAGCGTAACAGTTAGATTTCCGCCACTAGAGTAGTAGGAACAAAGAACTTGAAGGAATTGGACCGTTGTCTCTGTTCATACTATCTTTACATTTATTAATTCTGATGCTTTCATATGCATCTAATTGCCTGTAATTTGAGACTTGTTTAATTAATCTTAAATTATTAAGATCTATACAATGTTCTTTATCAACAATATGTTCCGCAACGCAAGATTTATCCGGTCTACCATATCTTATCTGAGCTAAATGTTCTTTAAATCTAGTTAATATTGATCTTCTAGTTTGCCTAACATATTTCTGATTACAATCTTTACAAGAAATTTCATAAATACCCGACCTTTCCAGTGGAGGTGTTTTATCTTTTGGATTACCTAATAATTGTTGTAATTTATTATTAGCACTATACACAAGTTTATAATTGACATTCTTAAAAATTCCTTTTAGACCACGGGCTAACTCTCTATCAAACGGTATCGAAAAATATTTAGACGTATCTTTCTCCACTTGAAAAGTCGAATTTTCACTAGTTACTAAGTCGAATTTTCACTAGTTACTAGTTGATAAATTAATTAGAAAACGTAGGTATAGGTTAATGATTTCTGAAAATTCGACTTTTCAAGTGGAGAAAGATACGTCTAAATATTTTTCGATACCGTTTATAGAGTTAGCCAGTGGTCACAAAGGTCAATTTTTAAGAATTGTCAATTATAATTTCAGTAATAGTGTAATAATAATAAATTACAACAGTATAAAATCAGGAAGATGCCGCCAACCTCCGATGAAAAGATCGGTATATGAAAATTCTTGGGTAATAATCGAGAAATATGTTGACGCAAACTAGAAGATCAATATTAACTCCGATATGGTGATGATAAAGCAAAGCAAGAATTTCAATAACATACAAACTGGATAAAAATTTTACCACCATTTGCCATCAGCATGAAAAACAATATATGGCAGTATTATATAACTTGGTAATATTTGAGGTAGTTCCATCTCGTTGGAATTTGGCTTTCAAAATTCAATTTGCCATCACTTTTTACGTCAAAAACGTTTAAAGCGAATCGTGGAAATTACTAACTTTTGGAACACCCTGTATGATTTTTAAAATTTCAGAATATGTAAAAAAACCAAATAAATTATGCTTGTCCAAGCGTTTCCCGAAAGACTAACCGTTTTTAAATACTTTCAAATGTGTAATATTTGAGGGGCGTTTTTCACCCTTTTGGAATTTGAGATTCAGCCCCTCCTTATCGAACCTCTACACCCCTGTCAATCCGTTTGCCAAAAATCAGCTTTAAGCCCGTCAAACAGTTTAAGCAGAATAGTGATTACTCAATGGTACATATTTTATGGAAACACCCTGTATAAATTTATAAAAATCTTAAAATATGTAAAACAACAAAATAAAATAACGTGTTTAAGAGTTTTTCCGAAAAACTCACCGGTTTAAAATAAAAATATTTTAAGCTCAGATAAGATATGGTGAACCGGATAGAATCTTGCGTTGCCAGACATGTGTTGATAATGAGACATTGTATAGATCTTAATAATTTAAAATTAATTAAACAACTCAGAACATTACACTCAAGATAATGCTGTAACCAGCATCCCGTGATTAATGTATGATCCATATTTTGTTCAGAGTCAACCTGTCAACATTAATAAAGTTCTTAAAATACACTCTAGTGAACAAAAATCAAATATACGCATCCAGTAATAACAAATGAATAGTATGAACAGGATTCTTACTCAGCCCAATCTAACTATTACCTTGAGCGAGTATATAAACGCTCAACTTGTAGATTGTACTTTAGTTTATAATCATCTGCTGATGATGCTAACATGGTTAGCGAAACGCGCGTCCAGTGTAAAAGTAAAAGTGTTTTGGTGTATTGTGGTGATTTAGTGTTTTTATTTTGCTGTGTAACACCAAAGGTTCCAACCCTCAACTGTAATCTTCTATTATAGAAATTATGATGAGTTGGTTTCTGTGTAATTTAAGGAAGTTGCCGTCAACTTCCGGTATTTCGGGAGTGCCGCCATATTGAAAATATTTTTAATCGCTACAACTCGTTTGAAAACAAAAAATCTCCAATCTAGATATTGTCGTTCTCCAGAGACTTCTAATTCACGCTCGGCCTGTATACCGCATACCTACAAATATAGAAAATAATATCTAAAAAATGTTGTTTAGTTAAAAAATGACATAATAGAAGCGAGAGTAGATTCATTCCGTCTTTCTATCATCTGTAAATGAAAAGAAAACTTGACAAATCCCAAACGCAATGGCTGGAAAATCCTTTGTAATGCAATATGCAGGTTGGGTTTGCGTTTTGTCGGCAGACTGTCGTATATCATATGCATATTCGCCTAGTTTTCTTCCTTCTCTTTTCCGTACAATTTCCGCGAGTCGATCTCGTCGCATCAAAAATATGTAAGATCGTCATATGTACGTCAAGTCAACAGAACGCGCACTTCCTCGTACAAGCGCGTATTTCATTTTACTAAATAACGTTGTTGGTAAACAGAAATCTTTCTAAAAATAGTGACGTCGGAGGCAAGAAATAGATATATGAAAATGGATATTTTTCAAACAAAAAGAAATACGAGACGGTTATTTGCTTTGTTTATTTGATATATTTTACTTCATATTTAATAAATCTGAACAGATTAGGAGACATGCGTATCAGAAACTCTTAAATTATGTTAATGTTGTATCGCATCGTACAATTATTTCAGCTTTACTTTAAAGGTACTGTTAATAATTAAAGTAAATTCGTTCTTATTTATTCTAGTTCATTGAAACAAATTTATTAAAGAAAAACAAGAAAATAAAGTTACCAGTTTCCTCCGGTATACTTAAACAACACACTACTTCCGCAGTCTTATCTGGAAAAAACACATAGTGAAGAACGTAAGCAAACACATTTGAAAATAAAAGACTTTAAGCTGTACGCACACTGGTACGATCACGGCCGCGATCACGATCTCCACGCGGCCGCGACCAAAAGTTGCTGAAGAATACATATGAGCCGTTTCACATTAGCGCCATCGAGTTTTGGAGACGAAGCAGGCTGGCGGCGTTCTATTCTACGGTGGCGATCAGATTCAACTTGTCGAGTTTGATCGCGTGATCTACGACCCAACTGATAGGAATTTTCCTTTATTTTGTGTGTTTTTTCTTGTTGCAATTTAGAAGTGGAGTTAACAGAGCAGCTATTTAAGACTGTAAAAATACACAAAATTCTATATGATTTATCCGATCCAAGTTATAAAAATAATAGAATTAAAAATAAAAAGTTTGAGACAAAATTGGAGTTGCAATTGGATTGGATAGTACATTATGTATACATTTTCATTGTTTAAGTTTAAATATTGTAGGTAAATATTTAAGAAAGTTTTTTTTCGGTATACATCATTTACATTTTTAATTTGTACCTATGTATACCTACATGATGGCGCACTACATACAGGTACGGCGGTAAACGTCAACGCATTGGTGTGTGCTAGAATGATCGCTCATGTTATCGATGCCCTAATTGTGATCGTGATCGCACCAGTGTGCGTGTAGCTTTATATTGGTTAATAAGAAGATTTAAACTATCGCTAGAGAATCAACTTTGTTTATATAAAACCATAATAATACGTATCTGGAACGTATATAGTTTTGGAAATCATTGTCAAATTTTTGTAAATGAACATCAATATCATCGCTTAATGTACAGAGTGTCCCAAATTTGTGCTTTATCATTGGGATCTCGGAAGTTACAGGAGATAAGAGATCAGTTAAACCGAGGCAAAGTTGCTCAATAGGCTGTCTGATAATTTGAGCTTTCATCACCAACTTTATTTTTTAAAATCCGGCTCTGGTATTGTGCTTTTTTAAAATAGACTTTGTTGTTTCAGAACCAATGGGCAGAAGGCTTGACGTCCAAACTCCATATCAGCACTGTCCGTCTCTCCGATTCCGGAAAGTACTCTTGCGTACCAACCATGGCCATTCCAGCTGAAGTAAACTTACATATAATCAACGGTAAGATTTTTTCTCAAACATTTAATATACAGGGTGGCACACCTCATTCACCTCGGTTGATTATACGAAAACGGAAACATATAGAAATAAAATATTTTATGGGTATATGTGAGGAGGTAATGTGCGCAATTTAAAAGTATTTTGAAATGTACTGGGTGGGTCAAATTCGACGCTTTTAAATGGAAACACCCTTTGCTTTAGGAGATAGACGAAAACTAATATCGGTGTCTGGAGCTCAATTTTCATCAAAAACATGATGGTGAAAACCGCACATCAATATCTGTTACCGTTTCGGAGTTACGGGGTGTTTTTCAAAAATGTGCATTTTTAACAAATCGCTGTAACTTTTTTGCTATCGAAAATTTTATATTTCTATAAAAACATTTCCAAAGCACCTTTTTACCTAGAATTTAATGGTTTAAGTATAATTTTTTTAAAATTAATAATTTAAGAGTTATCAACAGAAAAATTGATTTTTATTTGGGACACCCTCTATATTTTTAATTAACTGAAAAGAATTTAAAATTACCTTCCAAAAATATAGCACACTTGATATTTTGTTATAATCCCCCTTCGAAATACAATTTTTAAAAAGTTCGCCACTTTTAACTAGTAGGCTATGGACTCTTTATTGATGATATGCCCTTAATGGAACTCGGAAACATATTTTTCCAGCAAGACGACGCACCGCCTCTGATCGCTGAAGTTATCAGCAAATTTTTGCATCCAATTTCAAGAATAATTGAATAGCCAACCAAAATTCCAGCCTTTGCCGTCGAGGCCGCCTGACTTAGTGCCCATGGATCTAACCCTATCGATATATTTGCGGAAAAATAAAGGTTCCTTATTCTTCCGTATAATCTAGACGAGAATTAGAAATACTTAGCAGTTATGAGAGGGTATCTTTCACCCCCACTGAGTTAATGAATTCCGCGAGAAATGTTCAAAAACTGCCCCGTCTGTCCATAACAGAAGACGGTCGATATGTCGAACACCTATAGGAAAATCTCATGTCTTGGTTTGCTATTTATTTTTCTTGTTATTAGATATAGTTTAAATGTGTTGATGTTGATTAAATATATTTTAAATAGTTATAAAATTCTGCATCTCTCATAGCAAATATTATTTTCGTTTTAATTAATGCTCGCAGCTAGATTTTTTGCATTACAGCCGTTGCCGTTCAAAGCTCACTCATTTAAAACGGCGAATTTTTATATACTCTATATCTCGAAGAGGAATCGAGCAAAATATCAAGTGTGTTATATTTTTGGAAAGGTAATTTTAAATTATTTTCAATAAATTAAAAATATACAGGGTGTCCCATATAAAAAATCAAATTTTCTGTTGATAATTCTTAAATTATTAATTTAAAAAAAATTATACTTAAACCATTAAATTCTACGTAAAAAGGTGCCTTGGAAATGTTTTTATAAAAATACAAAATTTTCCATAACAAAAAAGTTACAGCGATTTGTTAAAAGGGCATATTTTTGAAAAACACCCCGTAACTCCCAAAAGGTAACAGATATCGATATGCGGTTTTCACTATCATGTTTTTGACAAAAATTGAGCTCCAGACACTGATATTAGTTTTCGTCTATCTCCTATAGAAAAGGGTGTTTCCATTTAAAAGCGTCGAATTTGACCCACCCTGTACAGGGTGTTTCAGAACTAAGATCCATACCAAAGTTTTATTTTTTCTTATGGAACACCCTGTATGTTATTTCTTTTTTGGATTCTTGGGCCCAAAAAAAGGTATTTATTATAAGGGTTAAATATGTTTAAAATCTTTGGTTTTTGAGATATTTAAAGATATTTAAATTTGCATGCTGCAATAGAATAGATTATTAACACCCTGTATATTACTTTTCAGAATTAATTCTTGTGCTGAGTTTAAAGGTAGAGAAATAAACTTTACAGAAAATGTTATTCCTTCCTTAAATGTATACAGGAGTATCAAAAATTGCTGGTCTATTTTAAATATTTATTTTACAAAACTTCGTTATTTCAAATGCAACACTATGTATTTTTTTAAATAAGTCGAAGCAGATTTAAATGCTCTTTCAAACTATATCAGGGTTTCCTATACCTATCTGGCTCAGATTTTGAATAAAAAGCGATTTTTCAATAAAATTGCAATGAAGATGGCTAGTGTTGTCATGGCAAGTTTCTAGTGACAGTTAGTAGGTATTTTCAAAATTAAAATTAGTCTATGGACTTATTTAAATTTATACCAGTTTACTTTTATTTAATTTACCTACAATAGTTTAATAATTAATATTTATTAAATATGTGTTTATTATTCTATCTAGAAAAACGAAGAAGTAGTTCTTTGAATTGTTTTACGATGACTTGTAGATATATGGATTTTCTATAATAGAGCGGCAAATTCATTTTCTTCACTTCTAACGATAGGTTTCTGCCTAATAGGTTTTTTATAAACCACACTACCAGCTCTGCGAAATGGGACAAGAAGTTTTTCAAAGAAACGCTTATCAGGAAGATTCCTATTTGGGTATCTTTGAGCCCTTGAGGCTAAGAAGCAATTTTCCTCACAAAATAATATCACTAGTAACATATCTATTCGTTCCGCCATCGCCAGCAGATACTGCTTTATTTTTCTCGATAAAGTAATGAATAGTTACTTATTAAACTCTTGTAGGTAAATTTAAATAAATTGTTATAAATTATAAATAATAATGTCCATAAACTAATGTCGACTTTGAAAATAGTTACTAACTGTCACTAGAAAATTGCCATGGCGACACCAGCCATCTTGATTACAATTTTATTTAAAAATCGCTTTTTATTCAAAATCTGAGATAGATAGGTATAGGAAACTCTAATATAGTTTGAAAGAGCATTCGAATCTGCTTCGATTTATTTAAAAAAAATACAGGGTATTGCATTTGAAATAACGAAGTTTTTATATAAAATATATCCTTAAAATAGATCAGAAACTTTTGATAGCCCTGTATAAATTTAAGGAACCAATACTATTTTTCAGTAAAGTTTATTTCTCTACCTTTAAACTCAGCATAAGAATTAATTCTGAAAGGTAATGTACAGGGTGTTAATAGTCTATTCTATTGTAGCATGCAAATTTAAATACCTTTAAATATCTCAAAAACCAAAGATTTTAAACATATTTTTAACCCTTATAATAAATGCCTTTTTTTGGACCCAAGAATCCAAAAATGAAAGAAAATACAATTTATAATGGGTGTTCCATAAGAAAAAATATAACTTTGGTGTGGTCTTAGTTCTGAAACACCCTGTATATTTCAAAATAATTTTAAATTGTGCACATTGCCTCCCCACATATACCCACAAAATATTTTGTTCTACATCTTTCCGTTTTCGTATGATCAAACGAGGCGAATGAGGTGCGCCACCCTGTATAATAATTATAATGACTTGGCAATTGCACAGCACCATAATTATAACAGAATAATCTACCATCTCGATTACTAAGTAAATCTAAGTATTGTCCTTATTTGTTTTTAATTAGAATAGAATATCATGTCGTGCACTAACGAAACTAAACTATTTTTTTTCAATTGTCTGATTGTTTGACATTTAATGTTAAAGGAGGCTAGATAAAATCAAGAAAAATATACGTTTTAAAACTAAATCTTAAATAATTTAAAAACGATTTATTTTAGGTATAGGAACAAGTATAATCAAAAAGTAACGATTTGAAAAACCTTTTCAATAGTGAAATAAAAAAAGGGGGTATACAACTGAACAAAAAAATGATTTATGATAATTTTTTAATAGCTCAATTCCATGACAGCTACCGCCATTATTATATGACATTTGAACAATTTAATTTTTGAAATCGATAGTCACATGTCTTCTCTTTATGTCACAGTGACTGTGGTAATCACTAAATTTGACTTTTAGGCTATATTTATTGACAGATTTTTTTTTAGTCCAAAAATTTTAAATATTTTTTTCTCATAAACCGATAATGTTAGATATAGAGTCTTTCACATCATTATTCATAGAATTTTACAGAGAATTGTAGTATGTATTATATTAGTATGTAATAAAAAATGGGTCACCCACTTACAATACGAAAGTTGCTGTCAACTTCCGGTATTTCCGGAAGTGCCGCTATATTGAAAATATTTTTAATCGATAGATCTCGTTGTAAAACAATGATGTGCAAAAAATCCCCAATCTAGATATTGTGGTTCTTTAGAAACCTCTAATGCACGCTCAGCCTGGAACACCCTGTATACCGTTTCATAAAATTTCTATAAAATATTTGACACTTATTATAAAATAAACTTTATCAAAACAGTCTTTTTACTTCATTTCCTGGTTGATTTCTTAACGAATTTTAGCCAACCATTTTTGTGCCTTTTTCCGAAATAACTTGGCAAGTAACAAAGCCATTAGGGGCCAAATTAATGAACAATCGAATCATTAATTTGAGCCAAAAATCTGCTTCCTTTTGTTTAAGACGGCGGCGATACCCTATTTAGCGAATAAAAAATAAATTAGTAGAGGACTTGCTAAATGTGCAAAAAAAGGTTTTAAGGTTTCTAAAAATTATGTAAGAGGGCATTTTGATTAAAATTAATTAAAAATTGAAACCCTTTGTAAAAAACGGGAGTTTTTGATGTGATTAGAGAGGAAGTAACTTTAAAGGGGATGAAAGTACCTTATGTTAAGTTACTTTAACACGTAACAGACATCATTTTTTGGTTTCAGTCAAATAATAGAACTATAACTTCAGTAAAGTGATTGATCCTGGATACTCATTTGTACAGGGTTTCCCACTAATAGAACTGCGAAAAAAAATATTTATAACCAAAAAGGCTATGAGAAATTACTGGAAATTATTTTCAAGTTTGTAGAACGGCCGCTAGAAGGCGCAACTGCTATAAAAAAAAGAAAATGGGGTTTTTACACAAATTTTCCTAGATAAGGAGTACTATAAATAATAGCTTCATAATCTTCAGTAAATTTCGAATCTTTTTTGTTAGAAC